CATTTTAGATATTGCCAATTCCCATATCAGTGCATCCCTTATTCCATCTGTGAGCTGCTTTAAAGGTGATTTCTCTCCTCAGAAAAGAGGTGAAACACTTTTTCCCCATGTGTAATTAAAGAACGATAACACGAAGGTTGTTTGCAGGTAAAAGTTTTAATCAGTTTTATTATAATAATATTAATAACATTAATAATAACTATTTAAGACTAATGTGTGTTATGGTATCATGTGTTTGACTCTTCTCTAAATGTGCCCAGCCTGGTGTGAATGACAAAATAAGTAAAACATTTTTTTCAAGTGTGTGGTTTTTCAAGCAAAACCAAAAGTGCGAAAAACGTCCTTTTGGTTACTGAGGCTGTTTAGCATCATTTAGCTCCAGTAATACAGAAGTCAATAGAAAGACCCTACAAAGTTGGGAATACATGGTTGTGTGTGTCAGGAGGTGGTGGTGTAGAGGAAGTTATGTGCAGGTTATGACCTGTTCGAGGTTGTAGAGCAGAGGGGATTATTTGCATGCAAATTGTCGTGCATAATTTGATTGAACCGATGAAAGGAGGAGGTTTAGGTATTATGTTATATGGTAATATGGGGCATCACGTCATAGACTGTTAATAATAAAGCCATTCTTTGATTCAGCTGTCCACCAAATATGACTTCTGTCATTTAATTAGCCTAATTTACAGTATTTCCTTTTGTTTATACTAGTATGAATCAGCTGGAACTGGAATAAATCGGAGTTACCTGATGGCTCAGGACATCTGAATCCACTGAACATGACTGGGAGAAGGTTATAAGTAAATCAGTGATTCCTCAACCTGCACACCAGCCACACTGGGTCTGTGTAGTCCTGCAGAGAAGATGAGATTGAAATGTGCGGTGAAACAACTGGGGGGATGGTAACGAATCTAAAAGAACGGACTTAATTGCGTTAAAGTATACATTACAGCCCTGGAGGCTGAAAATATGAAATCTTTGGACTCTAATTAAGTCCTGACACCATATAAAATCTCTCCATGTAAAATAATGTACACATGTTTAAGATTAACACATATGTGGATCATCTTGCAATGATTTACTGCCCTTTCTCCGGCTGCTGTTTACATCCACGTCTACTTCCATATTCTTATCCTTTAGATTCCCGCAGCAAAGCCCCGAACCCTGCAGGCTGCTTTTAAGAGTGAAAGCCCATTGAAGTCTTTGTTTGGACACTCTGAAGCCCTGATTAAGAGCTAATAGGTATTAAATGAAAGCTTGGACCACAGCTCTCTTGGGGCCACTCATGATGGGATAATCATGTTCATCCCCACTAAAATTACAGCTGATTGTTTTAGCCATTATTTTGCTCAACTTTTAATTTCTTCTCTCTGAAGGATCATTGCACTCGGTAATTGCAAAGATCTGCCCTTGTAGGCTGTGTGTCACCCACTCGACCTAGAAAATCCAATTTTGCTGGACTTGTTGGAGCAGGTCATTTTTGGGCTTAGAGGATTGAAAGGTGGTGAAGATTATGGAATCTATAAACCACAACAGAGTTGTGTCTTGTTTTTTGGGGCTGTGTGTTTTCATAATGGTGAACAGAAACAGACTTTCAGTTAATTGTTATGTTAATTAGTTTATCATAATTGGTTAATTAGTTAATTTCCTGCTTATCTGGTTAATTGGTTATACTGCTGTCTAACTGGTTAATTGGAATGCATATGGACTGCTGTTTTAAGGCTATTTGTTTACAGTTCATAATATTTTAGTTGGGGATCAAGGGTTCTTTAGTAAAGGCAATGGTTCTGTTTAGAACCATGAATTCCATATTGGACTATTATATGGATTATAATATATAATTATAATTCCATATGGTGCTTAAATAGTTCTAACAGTTAATATTATTATTATTATTATTATTTAATAGTTTAATGTGTTGTATATGACTCTAAATAGAACCTTAAATGACTCTATATAACATTAAAATGGGTTCTTCCATGGTTACAAGCTTGACATCAAAACAATTGCAGAACGCTTTTTGGTTCTTTATAGAACTCTTATCAAAAAGGTTCTATTTGAAACCGTATACGACACATTCTCCATCATTCTAAAGATGGCTTTCACCGTGTAGAGAATAATTTAAGCATGAAATGGTCTGTATGGAACGCGTTGTTCTAAATAGAACCATCCCCTTTGTTAAAGAACCATCTTTTAAGTGTGTACAGAAGATTTCTCTCATCTGATTATTATAAATAATATTTTTAGTCTATTTAAAGTTGGCAAAATAGTTAAATGGAGAGATTACAGCCAAAAAACAGCATCATATTTTTAGCAACCTTCTCAAAAATATGAATTCTGGTCGTTTCGTTGTTGATATTTGTTTACGCATTTATTAAAATTGTGTGACCACCGCTAACGAGTTCGGCGCTCTCGCGCTCTCCTCGTCAATTTCTCGCGCCACCATCATCATCCTGCCCTCGCGAGGCGAGGGAGGGAGAGAGGAAAAGGAGAAATAAGCCTATTTAGTGACTTTCCACTTCAGTGGCCTTTAACGCAGGACGGGAGCTGACGGGCTGCGTCGATCACGGCGCGCATCATCGCTCACTCCGCCTCCGCTGCTCCTCCTGCTGCTCCTGCTGCTCCTCCCGGCGCCCGCGCGCGGAGATAATCGGGCCATTAGAGGCGCGGGATTAATGCGCGGGATTAATTTGTAGCCAATTACGGCCAGCGGTGGAATATGAATGCGTAAATAAAGCGCTGCGTCTGCGACGTATGGAGGGGGGAAGGAAGAGGAGGAGGAGGAGGGGGGGTTAAGAGCAGGGAGGCGCGTGACATTAACGTATGGGGGGGTGTGGTGGGGGTCCTAGAGGGGAGCTGGGGGTTGGTGGGGGTGGTTAAACTCCCCAAAAAGGAGCTGACCAAGAGGGGAGATCACCATCCATTCCGTGAGCTCTGAGCTCCTGGAGCGGCGGGAGCGCGCACGAACAGGTGCATCCCTACATTCTACACACACACACACACACACACACACACACACGCTCAAAGCAGCTCGCGAGCGCGATGCCTTCGGCTGAGTGAGAGCGAGAAGAGGGGAGCGCGGGGCGGAAGCCATGAACCGGGATAAAGCGCAGGCGGGAGAGCTGTCCATCGACCCGCCTGCCCAGACCGCAGTGATCGTGGCCGCCCCTACCGAGAGCGCGCCGGACGCACGCGGGGAGAAGCGCGAGCCGCTGCCGGCGGCGCCTCAAGGCGACGGGCGGGACGGAGCCGCGCGCCACGAGGCGCCCCCCGCCGCCCACCGGACCACCTCCTTCTCAGTGCTGGACATCTTGGACCCAAACAAGTTCACGAGCAAGAGGCAGCCGGTGGGGCGCGCGGGCTGCGAGCTGGCGTACGGCGCGGAGAACCGGGACGGGCTCAAGGTTCACTCCGAGGAGTACGAGGGCAGGAAAGCGTCCGGGATTTTCAGTAAGTGTTGCTCTGAGCTGGAGTCGCCGTGATTTTCCCAAAAAGGCCCAAGAAGGGGGCGCTGAGTAGCAGCAGGCCTGCTCGAGCTCGGCCAGGGACCCGGAGGGAAAGTTGTAAAGTGGCCGGATGTAAAGTTGTAAAGTGTAAAGGTGTGAAGTTTGTGGACGCGAAGTCTGAAAGTTAAGCGGTCTGAGCTGAAAATATAGAGACCAAACCGCTCTTTAGAGAGCGGAGGGAGCTGGGAATGAACTGGGGAGCTGAATCAGGTGCTGGAGCTCCGCACACCTGCACTGGAGTTCAGACCCTCTAGACAGTTAGGCTGCGTCCTAAACCGACTACCATAGTTCACTACACTCTCAGAAATAAAGGTACTAAACTGTCACTGGGTCAGTGCCCCTCTTGTCACTGGGGTGGTCCCCTCAAGGGTCCATCTCAGTACCTTTAGTCAGGGAACATAACTGAACCATAATCCACTGAAATGATATGTTCTAAGCTGTACTGACTCCACACACCCCGTCTCGTCTCCAGGCTTTTATTTTACTGTTCTGTTTAAAACATTCGGTTATGAAAAGGTACAAATACGAACTTTTCACCTGGAAAAACTTATTTAAGGATCACAATCAGACCTTAAAACCACTGTTGTACCTTTGAGGGAACATTTACATTGTTTGTACCTTGATGAACGAGAAATGCACCAAGAGAACCTTTATTTCTGACAGTGTAATGAATGCACTTCTAATGATGGCTGTGCTATTTTTGACGTGCGGTTTTGGACGCAGCCTCGCACTTTGGATTGGGCCTTGATCCCACAGTGTGATGAGGGCCATATTAATGACCTATTCTCAGATAATTGAGCTCCTCCGTTAGTCTGGGAGGCGGAACTATGGGAACCCAGCGCCACATGAGTGCATATTCTGTGTAAAGTTTGGACTGATTGAATCCAGACCGGCTGGTTTTGGTGAAAATAACACGTCATTGTTTTGACATTTGAATGCTGAAGGAAAGCGACTGCATTCAGAGTCTGCGTTCACAAAATTAGGGAGTTGTTCTGGTGGGGGGGACACTGGGGGGGCCCTATCCTGGCCATCTTTTGGAGTTTTTAGAGTCTGCTGATCGATATCTTCCTTAATAAGTATAATAGGTTTAAATCGTGTAATTATCCGAAATTTGCCCCTATAATTTAGATGTTGAGGAGGAGTTTGCAAGCTGCCTGAAAGAGATATACTCAGTTCGATAATAGGATATCGACCTGTCCACTGTGGGCCGGTCTGCCCCATTATCCAGGGCCGCGTCCACGCTGCAGTCAGGGATCGAAGGACTTTAATTGTTTTTTCTTTGGATGTTGCATAGCTTTGTCTCACGTCTGAATGGGGGGAAATGAAGAGAAGTCATCCTGCATGTGGGCAGCAAAGCCTGCGATCAGGTCCTTAAATCTGCCAGCCTGTCCTGCCTCGCGTGGGACAAGGTCGCGACTGATTGGAGGAAACGAATGAAAAAAAAAAAAGGAAATTCTCTAAAAATGTTGTGATAAAAGTTTCTACCAATATTATTAAACTGAGGATTAAACACTGATTAGACTGGAAAAAAAGCGGCAGGAACAGATGAAGCACTTTCGACTTTTCTTGAAATTTTAAATTTATTGAAAATTAAAATTAATTCCAGATATGGAGCCAATTTACTGAACTATTATAGTTCAACACTTACAGGAAAAATTATTATAATTTATTATTATTATAAACCTTGTCTAGACGTTTTAATAAACGTTAAAATGATCTTTGATGTTAACGTTTCGTGACGTTTGTTCATATACGGAAAAGCATAAAACACATTTGTTTACATTTATTTATAAATTGCGCTCGTGCAGTTGAGAGGAATTGTGGACCAGTGTTCAGAATTAAATTCATACTGGATAAAAGAGCTGTAATAGAGCAATATTAGCCTCTTAGACGTCACGTTTACATTAAATACATTCTGTCTGAGAGACTGAAATATGACGTGCTTATGAAATCTGAATCACGTGCATAAAGAACTGCTCATATTTGAGTGGCATCTGAGTTTGCATGCATGCGTTTTTGCTTTGAGCGGAGTTCAGACCTGTCCCGCTCTGGCCTCTTACAAGCAAAACGCAATTTTTCCGTTTATTAGGATAAAATATGAATATAAATATGGATATGAAGTGAGTGGTAAACGTCAGCACGTGTTGTTTTTGAATTGAGGAAAATAGACTGGAGTTCAACCGGACATCTCATCTGATCCCAATCACTCATTTGACTGTAGGGGTAAAATAATGCATGAATGTTGAAATATGAATATTGTTTTGGATTCATGTGGAGCAGATTAGGACTGAACGAATGTTAGTTTTGCTAGTAAGTAAATAAATTAGTTTTAATATTGAGCCGCGTCAGTTATAACACGCACGTGCTCGGTTTACTGTGGAGTAAAATATGAGAGAATATGAGCAGAATATGAATATGAAATTTGAGTGTTTGATTTAATAATACACGCCCCGAAATCCTGAATCTGTGATCAATAAAAGGAGCAAATCACGTTTTTTACTGGGCAAAGTTTATTATTGAGCCAAACTCGCGTGAAGCACTTTATTATAATGCTGTAATAACCAGATATGAATATGCGGACTTCAGTGACCTGACGTGTTTTGTTTGGTCAAACAGAGGACGGCTTCGTGTTCAGGTCCGAGCTCGAGCCCGAGCTGACGCGCGGCAGTCCCGAGGACGGCGATCTGCAGGAGGACGCGTGCAGCGAGCTCAGCGACGGCGGTGCGCTCGCGGCGAACGGCGACGACGACGGCGAGCGCGAGGAGGACGACGACGAGGCGGCGCTGCTGAAGAGCGCGAGCCCCGAGAGCGGCCACGCGCACACGCACGGGACCGCGAGCCAACAGCAGCAGCAGCAACAGCAGCAGGCCAAGCCCAAGAGGAAGCGCTCGGGCTCGGACTCCAAGTCGGGCAAGCCGCGGCGCGCGCGGACCGCCTTCACGTACGAGCAGCTGGTGGCGCTCGAGAACAAGTTCAAGTCCACGCGCTACCTGTCCGTGTGCGAGCGCCTCAACCTGGCGCTCTCGCTGAGTCTGACCGAGACGCAGGTCAAGATCTGGTTCCAGAACCGACGGACCAAGTGGAAGAAGCAGAACCCCGGCGCGGACACGAGCGCGCCGGCGGGCGGGGTCGGGGTGGGCGTCGGAGGGGGCGCGGGAGGGGGCGCGGGCGGAGGACCCGGCGGGCACGGCGGCCTCAGCCCCCTCAGCCACTCTCCGCCCATGAGCGGCCACCTGGCCATGCACTCCGGCTACGGGCCGCCCGCGCCGGGGGGGCTGGTGTGCGCCACCCAGCTGCCCTTTCTGCCCAGCCACGCCGTGCTTTCGCCCTTCATGCTGGGCTCGCAGACGTACGGCGCGCCGGCCTTCTACACGCCGCACCTGTAGGTGCGGGGAGAGGAGCACGAGGGCTGGATTCAGGGGCTGATGGGGCAGCAGATCGTTTAGGACAATGAAGTGAACGAGCTCAAGTTTCTGAAAGCGTCCCTTATTATCTGATGGCCCAGAGTAGCTATGGATTCAGCTGTGATGGGACAGTCAGGTAATAAGGGACCCCCATGCCACCCCCCCAAAATGGAAAAGGCTTCAGTTTGTTTAGTCTCCTCTATAATGACTAAGTCTATCTGCATAAATCCAATACAAACATCAGCTTAAACTGGAACGAATTAGACTACATTTAAATGGTCCCTTATTACCTGAAGTCTCATTTATACCCGAATCCACCCGAAACAGGTACAGTCGTGTGCAAAAGTTTGAGTACTCTGTGAAATTTACACGTTTTGGCGACTTTCTGAGTGAAAATAATAGATATTCTCTACAGAGAGCTGCAGCTTTTAATGCACTATTACTGCTTATTTGCTGAATTTACATTCAGGGAAAAAATAAAACATGATGTGTCGCCTGTGCAAAAGTTATGGCACGTTATATTGTTTCCCAATATATTGAACTTAGAAATTAAACAGAAATTTTCCATTAAAATGCAATATTTAATTGTGTTCACTAAAAAGAACTGGACTTATTTTCAGTTCAAAATTATTAAAACGTATTTTGGCTAGGGGTGTACAAACTTTTGCATAGGACTGTAGGTCTGGGGGTGGGTATAGGTTATATGGGACACTGTGGACAATACAGGACCCTCAATTATGAAGCCATACTGTCGTTGAGTTCCAAACTAAAATGTGTTCATAATTGAGTTCATTTATTTACACCGTTTTTATTATGTAGAATATTCCAGTGTGAAAGAGAAATGGTGTAAATAAATGAATTCGGATTAAATTCGTTTTTAAGTGTCCTCTATTATCATCCGATGGCCCCGACCTCCTGAATCCCCCCTCTCTGGTGACTCCAGCACTCCTCGCCCTGTCTGTCCTCTGCCTCTGTCCGCGGCTCTGACTCTGAGGCTCTTCCCTCTCCCAGCTTCCTCCTGTAAAGACACTGATGTGCTGACTGACTCAGACACTCACTGAGCTCGAAAGCTCGCCGGACAGTCGAACGAGGAGAAATCTGATTTCGCTTTTCCTCGTTTCGCAGATTTTCCTTTAAATTCCCAGAATGTTTTCCCAATTTTGAAGCATCGAAATGTGCATATTTTTCTCTGGGTCAAACTGTAAATACTCAGTTATCATGACTATATGTTTAGGCACTCATTTTGAATGCAGAGGCAAAAAAAAATGAAAATGGAAAAAAAAATAGTCGGGAATTAGTGGGAATAAAACTAATTATGTATCAGAATCTTCGATGAGCTCGTCTAACTGAAATGTTGTGGAGATGAATCGAATCGTAAAAGGTTTATCTGGGACTTTTTAAATGTTTAGGATTATTTATTTCAGAATTTACATGATATTTCATTGTTTGTTTAAAAAAAAGTTTAAATAAAATTGCCGATTTTTAAGAAGCGATTTTTCTGAATTTCACACTTTGCAGCCCACACTCATATTTAAATACCAGTGTCGATATTTACACTGATTTGATGCATTAAGCATTTGTACTTTATTATTATTAATATTATTATTATTATTATTATTATCATTACTTTCGTTTTTTTGTTTGTTTTTCAATTTTATATATTTGGCGCAAGTATTGATCATTATTAAGCAGATCGATGCGGTTCTTTTTAAATATATTATGATATTTTATTTAATGCTGTATGTGATTTAATGATTTAACGAAGAAAGACCCCGAATTTTCCCAGCCTTTATCTGGAGATCATTTCACTGATTTAATTATTAGTGTATTTATTGATTAAACAGAGATCAGATCTGCTGATGAGCTGAAGAAAGAATGGAAAACGAGTGTGAAGTTTGAAGTGAACTGAAATTGAAATTCTGATTTAGTGTTTATAATTTAGGTGGAATATTTGTAGTGATTATTTGCGTTAAGCAGCGCTTTGATGTCTGTAGAGGTTCAGAGACTCAGCAGGCTGATCTTCTCTTTATCGACTCCTCATTTCATCTGGATAGACAGATTTATTTAATCGTTGGTTTAATGAAATGCAGTCGTTAACCGCAGAGACTCGGTGAGCGACCACAGATACAGGCTTTATTATAACTAACACCTCGTATTTCCGTTTTTGACGTTTTTCAGTTTTTGACATAATTTGAAAACGCCTGTTACTCTTTACATTGTATGTAAATTTCATCATGAATGGAGCAAAAGAAACGACCCCAAATGACACGGAGAAAATTCTGGTTCCATTGACTTACATTAAAAGTAAAGTAGGTTTTTTCCTTCTCCTGTAAAGTTACCATTTTGGAGATACGAGTTGTTCTTCCGACAGCAGCGATTTGTTATAACTTTATTCAACTACACTGTAAAAAGTGGCTCATCTGATCTACTTAAAAATCATGTTGTAACGAGCAACTGAACTAATTTAATTCAGCTCAAAAATTACACTGATTGTAAGAATCGTTCGTTCAAATTGTTTATTTAGGTTGAATGAAACTAGTTAATTTACTTGTTACAACATGAAGTAGTTCTTTAAGTAGATCTGACCACTTTTTACAGTGTACGATTACAGTATGGCTGCTTCTTTTTAAATAAATAAAAATAATAATGTAAATAGTGCTCAGATATGTGGGGGATTCTACTGTTTTTCTTGTTTTTGAATTTGGTTTGAAAAGATGTTTTTTAACGTCGATGAAATTATTATTCACTCATGCACTCTGAAAACAAACGTGTTAAAAACTAATTCTGTCTCTAACTGGACAAATCAGTGTGTTTATTTGGAGACGACACATTTTATGTGACTTTAACACAAAATGTGTTGAAATATTTCTCTGTTCAGATACGGGAAACATATTCTGTGTTACTTTTAATACAATCAGAAAACGATACAACACATCGTTTCTAAGAGTGTGTTTAACTTACCTATTCTAGACTTTTTCGATAAGAGCTGCTATTGGATTATAGCTGAGTGAAACTATTGAGACGTCATTTATCAGAGCCAGACGGAGGCTTTTTCTGACCAGTCGAGTCAGTGAACTATCCCACCAATACAGG